CCCAAGTCCACACGAGAGCTCTAGGAGGAGGAAGGTGACCACAGGTGGCATCCAAACTAGGTGCGCCACGAGTGTAGGAGGCACTGAGGGTCCGCTGCCAGGGCCTCAGGAACCAAATACTCACTGCCAGCAATGTAAGGGTCAGTCAGGAAAGCGTTACACGGGCATCCCCAACCACGATGCAGAGGGGTTTCACGCTCATCTCCACATCGGAAGCACTTCCCTGAGGTCAGATATCCACTATCTTGAAGTCGGCTCTCTGGCCAGCATCCTCCAACAGCAATGGTGATCAAAAGAGCGGCGCCCTTGAAGTCGCCGTCGCCAAGCAACTTCTTCTGCTTAGCACGTTAATGCAGTGAGGTCAGCTCCTGAAACTAGACGTTGGCCACAAAAATGAAGACAAACCCTGGCCCAGACAGGCAGAGGAGGAGGACGAGGAGGAGGAGGATGAGGAGGAGGATGAGGAGGAGCGGGAGGAGAGACAGGAGGAGGAGGAGGAGGAGGAGGAGGAGGAGGAGGAGGAAAAAGAGGATGAGTAGGATGAGGAGGAAGAGCAGGAGGAGGAGGAGGAGGAGGAGGAGGAGTAGGAGCAGGAGGAGGAGAGTGAGGACGAACAGGAGGAACTGGGGGGACAGGGGGGCGAAGAGGGCCCTCCTTGTCCTTGCTCCTTCCCCTCGCCCGCCTTCGCACTCCCACCTCCCTCCTCGCTGCACTCCTCGGGCTCCCCCTCCCGATCCTCCTCGCCTCGTCCCCTTCCCCCCGTGAGGGGGTGGGGGTTGGGGGGGGAGCGGGGCGGGGGCGAGGAGGCCGAGCGGGCCGCTTCGAGCGTGGGCACGGGCAGGACCTGGCCCAGGTCGCCAAGGCTTTCGGCTTCAGCGCGCCGCCAAAGGCCGCCCGCCGCCCCCTTCGCCCGCGCGGCCGCGCGCCCGGGGGTCCCGCGGGCCACGGAGAGCGAGCGCGCTCCGCTCGTCGGGGAGGTGTCGCTGCACTGTTCGCATGGCTCTCGCACGTTCTGGCAGTTTCCGGAGGGTTCCGGAGGGGGGCGGCGGAATGGGAGGACTCCTCCTCTTCCCCTTCCTCCTCCTCCTCCTCTTCCTCCTCCTCCGCCTCCTCCTCCTCCTCCTCCTCCTCCTCCTCCTCCCTCTCACTCCCAGGAGTGCTTGTCAGGGCAAGTGGGCCCCCTTTGCCAGTTTCCCTCCTCCTGCCCGAAGGTGCTTGTCACGGCAAATCGGGGGGCTTGCTTACCTCCTCTCTTCGTCCCTTCCACGGCTGCTCTGCATGCTCCTCGCCGCATCTTTTGCAAATGCACATTTTCATATACTTTCCCCTTCAAGTCGCACACGGCATACAAGCGAAGCTCGTATCAAACGAAGGTTTGCGTATGCTGCACTTGATGGTTAACTTCCCACATCCTACGTGGGGATGTGTTGTTTCTTTAGACATCTCGCGCGGGAACACCCCCTCCTCACGCTCCTCCCCTCTTCTTTTCCTTCTGCACTTGGCATCATCATCATCATCATCATCATCATCATCATCATCATCATCATCATCAGCATCAGCATCAACATCAACATCAACATCAACATCATCACCATCATCACCATCATCATCATCATCATCATAGCTGTGTGCCCAAGCATTTGCAGGGTCGCAGCTTTTACCTTTCACTTGAGTCCCCCCCCCCTCTCCCTCCTGCTCCTGCCATGCCAGTGCTCGCGCGGCTGGATGGGCTCGCTCGGCAGCTGGAGTACGGGCGTAAGATCCACGTCGTTCTTCGCCCCGCTGCTGCTGCAGGCAAGGTGAAGGATAAACTCGTGCTCCGCTCGGCGCAGGTCGGCGCCGCTAGTGACATATTGAAGGTGCAATTGCGTCATCATCTTGCGGTGCTTCGCAGTACGATCCAGACCCACATTGTAATGGACTGCGGGCGCAAGCACTCCGACGGCCTTTCGGAGGTGACATTCTGGGTGTCGACTTCTGCACCTCGGGCTGCTCCTGCCCGCGAATATGATGATAGTGTCGGAGGATCACCATCACCATCATCGTCATCATCACCATCATCATCATCATCATCATCATCATCATCATCTTCCTCCTCATCATCATCATCATCATCAACGTCAGTACCATCATCATGCTTACCATCATCATCATCATCATCATCATCATCATCATCATCATCATCATCATCATCATCATCGTTATCGTCATCATCATCACCATCATCATCAGCAGCATCATCATCACCATCATCACCATCGTCACCGCAATTATCGTCAGCATCTTCATCACCACCATCATCATCGACATCATCACCACCATCATCAGAACCGTCATCATCACCATCATCACCCTCCTCCTCATCATCATCAGCGTCATCGTCATCATCATCGCCATCATCATCATCACCATCATCATTAGTCCTCGTCACCATCATCGTCATCAGTATCATCATCACCATCACCATCACCATCATCATTTCCATCATCAGCATCGTCGCCGTCATCATCATCAGCAGCATCATCGTTATCATTGTCATCATCATCGCCACCATCAGCATCAACGCGATGATCATCATCATCATCATCATCATCATCATCATCATCATTAACGTCATCACAATGATCAGATTCCTCATATTGTTTATGATCATCACCACCATTGTCATCATCATCGTCATCATCGTCAGCTTCATCATAATCATCAGCATCATCATCATCATCACCATCATCACCACAATCATCGTCACCATCATCGTCATGATCACCATCATAACCATCATCCTCATGCAAATCATCATCACCACCATCATCACCATCATCCTAATCATCATCATCACCATCATCATCTTCTTTCCCACCAATCATGTCATTCATCATCATGATGATGATCATCATCATTACCGTCATCATTATCATCATTACCGTCATCATCATCATCATTACCATCATCATCATCATCATCATCATCACCATCACCATCACCATCACCATCATCATCATCACCATCATCATCATCATCATCATCATCATCATCATCATCATCATCATGCTGCGCCGCGCCCTCCCTCGCGCCGCGCCGGGTGGCCCTCGCGCGCTGGGGCGCAGAAGAGCATGCGCTGTTCGCGCTCGCCTGGGCAGGCGCCGCCGGCGGCGGGATCCCCTGGGCCTCCTGGTGAGCTCTGCAGGCCGCCCAGAACCCGCATCTCCGCGAAGCGGCAGCGGAGGCGGGTGCTGCGGGTGCAGCTGCGCCATCTTCGTGCGCTCCCTCATCATCACAACCTCCTGGTGGCCTGCTGCTGCTGCTGCTGCTGCTGCGGTTGCGCGCCACTCGGTTTCTGCGGAGGCAGGGCCTGGGCGGGCTGGAGCCCGCTGGCGCCGCTGGCCCGAGCCGCCTTCATCGCGGAGCTCGCCGACTATGTCGAGACCAAGGGTTTGGCCGCGGTCGCAGAAGCCGCCGACCGCACGGCGGTTTTGCTGGCTGCTGTTCGCGCTTGGCCGGTTCACCGGCGCGTTGCACACCGCGGGCCCCGCCAGTGAGAAGGCCAGCTGGGCGGGCGCCTCCGCCCTCGGAGGCTGGGCGCGGGACCCGTCGGAGGAGGGTGCGAACTCGCGCTCCGGCCCGCCTGACTGGGCTCGGTTCCGGGCCATCGTCGGCTCCCAACCATCCATCGAGGCGGCCTCCGACGCCCTGGGTGGCACGCTGGCCGCTCGCGCCTCCGGCGGGGAGCCTGCAGGAGGAGGACTAGGCCGGGGCGGAGGAGGCGCGGGAGCTGATGGAGGAAGGGGCGGTGAGGCGGGGGCGGGGCAGAGCGAGGCTGCCGTGCCAGATTGCCCGATGCCGGGGTCGCGCTGGGTCCCGAGCTGGCCCTCCTACGCCTGCAGCTCGCGGAGCGCACTCTAGGCAGCCGGGCCCTTCCGGGATGAGCTGGAGGTGGAGTTCCACGTGCCGCCCGCCACGCCCCAGCAGGAAGCGCCGCAGGCGGAGTGCGCCGCGGCGGAGCAGGAGGCTGCTGCGGAGGGCAGCGGCGCCGCAGGACGAGGTGCGGCTGGAGGCGGAGGAGACCCGAGTTCTGGGGGCTGCCAGCCCCTCCTCGGGTGCGCCTGCGGCCGCCGGCGCGTGCCGCCGCTCCGACGAGGCGCTTGCAGGAGGAGCTGGAGTGGCCAGGGGCGGCGGAGCACCATCACCCGCTGGAGATGGAGGAGGCAGAGATGGCAGACATGGCGGTCGAGGTCGCGGAGGAGGCGCGAGGAAGCCTCAGGTGCTGACGGACGCACTCGCTACTGCTGGTGTCCCACCGCCGCTGCCTCCAGACTTCGAGAGCGGAGAAAGCGCTTCGAGGCGGCTCCCACACATCCCCGGCTGCCGAGCGCGTCGCTGATGCGATGCTGGCTGCTGCGCTACCGCCCTCGCACCTTGCCGGGGCTCCTGGCCTGCTGCCGCTCGCAGCACCAGAGCCTCTGGCCGCCCTGGCGGATGCTGCAGTTCCAGGAGACGCCAGCGAGGCCGCTCAGCTTGAGGCGAACATCGACGTGGCCGCCAAGCTCGAGTCCCTGTCCGCGGCGGCTCCCACGCCTGCCACCGGTGGATCTGGGGAGACTGACTCGACATCTCGTCGTTCGCATTGCCGACGCGTGCGCCGCAGCCCTCGGCGAGTCCGCTGCCGCGTGCTGGGCGCGCGGCCCCGAGGCGGAGGCCCATGCGCGGATGCTGTCTGTGTGGTTGTGTTTCTCGCCCGCGCTGCTGGCGCACCCGACGCCGAGGGACGCCCGCGATAGTGCGGAGGAGGATGATCAATGGAGAGGAAGCGTGTTGCCAAATGATTTCCAGATGTCTAGAACATGTTAGATCTGTTTTAAGCATGTAAAAACATGTTTTGAGCATTTGTTCAGGCTATTTTTCTAATTTTGAAACAGATTTTTCAATTCGATGATAGGACTGTTAGGGTGTCCATTGTCGTGGCATCCGCAGAGATAGTGCGTGCCCAGGCCCCGCCCGCCCCATGCGCTCGGCACCCGGCAGCGCATCGAGCTCGTTGAGTTCGGCCAGCATGCGGCGCCGCTGGACATGTCAACGTGGGCTCCCCGCAGGCGTGGGGCGCTGCGCGGGCGCCGGCGAGCAGCGGCAGGTGCTGCCTGGCCACCTGCCCCGTCCACGCGGGCCCGCCTCCCACGGGTCGCCGACGCCCTGCGCCGCGAGGGGGTCGCCCACGCGAGATCCCCGTGCTGCGGGGTCTGCCCAGCCCCTCGCGGGAGGAGAGCACCTCCGATGCCGCGCGGGCGCTCGGGGGCGCGGGGCGCCCGTCGCTGTCGGCGCGGCCCGGGCACGGGCGCCGGGGGCTGCGGCGGCTACTCTGGCGAACTCGTCGGCGCGTCTGCTCCCCGCGGCGCAGCGGGGCGCCGCGCTTCCAGCTCCGCGCGGCGGCGGCCCCGCGGCCGAGAGGCCAGTCGAACGCGCTGCTCCTCCGCGTCGCGAGGGCGCGGCGCAGCCCCGCTGCGCTGGCGGCCTTCGTGGCGGCGTTCGCACGCGGCCGTCTTCTCCGCTGCGCTCGGGCTCGGGCCGGAGGGGTCCCCGCGTGCATCGAGAGGCTGCGCGGGTGGGCTGCTGCCGAGGCCGCGCTTGCCGCGGGCGCGGAGCCAGGGGCCCCCGGCGATCCGCCCGGCGCAATTCTTGCCGGCGGCGCCGCCTTCGCAAAGATCGACCTGCAGAGCTCTGGCGGCCGACTGCAGCGGGCAGGCGCGCCCCGCCGCGTTCGCGAGGCGGCGGCGCTGCCCGCGAAGCTGCTGGCCCTGCAGTGGAAGGCTGGCTCGACCTGGATCTGCATCCGCGTCGGCGATGCTTGGCGCTGCTTGGAGGTGTGGGCGGGGGGTTCGGGCAAGACCTTTATCTATATCCACTGCGTCTTGGAGTTTCGGGCTCCCTTCCTCCAATGCCAGAGGCGCCGTGTATATGGATAAAGCAATTTCGCCCCAGAAGGTAGGTCTTTATCCATGTCCACTGCGCCGCGGCCTGTTGGCGCCCCTTCCCAGAAAGTCCACGACGCAGTGGATCTGGATAGAAGCCGTGCCCGCAGGGGGCATCCAGGGGCCGTTCCTCGCTGAGGTCGCGCTCGACATCGCGATTCGCGCGCTCCTCGCAGGTGCCGTCAGTGCCGAGCGGCGCCCCGCGCGCCCGCTGGTCTGCCAGCGGCGATGTCGGAGTTGCGGACCGTGGGTTATCGCCGCGCTAGCGTGTTCCACGCTGCGGATACTTGGCGACTTGCAGCATGTCTTGGCTGCCGAAAACCGACTGAGCGACGCAAGAAACCGCGGTCGTCTGCGCCGACGTTGGCGCGTGAGCTGTCCGCGTAAGCTCGCGCGGAAGCGCCCTCGCGTCCAATAGCGCGTGCCGCGCCAGCGCCCCGCGTAAGCCCTGTGGTAAGGTCGCTGCGCCATCTTGCGTGAGACCCGTGCTTTTTTGTAGCCCAACTGCAAAGCAGTGCCTCGTTGCTCGGAAGTGCGCTGCTTCTCTGGCGGCGGCCGACGGTGGTCTGGAGCCGCTGGGCCCTGCTGGGCCGGCGCGGCGCGGACCTCTGCGCCAGCTCGCGCCGAGGTCTTTCGGCGGCCTGGATAGGGAAACGAACTCTATACACCGACGCTTTTCCCTACCCTGCGCTGAAATTCGCACAGGAACGCGAATTCTGGTGTATACGGGATCCTGGTGTATACACTTTTCGTTGCTTTCCCGGGACATCGGGGAAACAAGTATACACCACATCACCCCAGCGTCGTCCCCGACCCTCGAAAAGTCCTGGGCTTCAAGAAACAGCCCGCCACTGGTAATGTATACGTTCCAGTTTCCGACTGGAGGCCTCGGGATCGGTCCTGCAGGGCAGGTGCCCTGCGGCGATGCGCGGCTCGCCGCGTCGCCGCGCCTTGCTGAGGGGCAGGCGGGCGCTCGGGCGGACGACGTCCGCCGCACCCCGTGCGCCGCCTTTTCCCTGGGCATGGCCTGGCGCTGCACCGGCCCACGGGCGCGCCGTGCTGCGCGCGTGCCGCTGGCGAAAAGCGTTGCGAGAGGGCTGGATTACGATGAAGTCGGGCCCGTCCCTCTACAGGGGGAATGTTCAAAAAAAGTCAAAAAATATTATGGGGACGATTTTTTGAGTATTTTTGAGCATTTCTGTTTTTTTTTTTTTGGGGGGGGGGGTTGATTTTTCGCCCAAAATCCCCCTGTAGAGGGATGCGCCCGACTTAAGGTTAAGATGTGCGACTGCGTCCACCTGGGGCGCTACTATCAGCCTTGTAGCGAGCTCCGGACGCAGTGCACACGGACATAGAGGCGCTCGCCGGTCAGCAGCACGGTCCGGACTGCGTGGCCGTCGCCTCAGTGCATGCCTTCCTCGCGGGCCTCGGGATGCGGCCCATGGATTTCGCGCGCGCGCGCAGGCGGCATTCTGGGCGTGCCACATCTCCGTGGAGGCGCACGTCCTCGCGGTCTCGGCGGGCATGGGACGCCCTATTGTCGCCCACTCGGATGCGCTTGCAGCTGGCCGCGCGCGGGACGACTTGGAGTCCGCCGACGTCTACATGTGCCCAGGCCGCAGCACCTTCTTGGAAGTATACCGCGGCTCGAGTCCAAGGCGGGGGTTCGTGGGCCGCCGAAGGTTACCCGCCGAAGCAGTCGTCGATTTCTGCACGCGGATTCGGGCGACATCCCCGGTTCCTCTGTGTCGCCGTTGGCCGCTCGGGGGCGGCCAAGAGGGGGGGTGAGGACTACGGGGGGGGGATATCATGGCGGGGGCCCTGATGTCTCCCCAGATGTCATGGCGACTCTTCTTGTTTAAATACGTCCCTGGCACCCCCCCCTGGGCCGCGCACGTGCCGCTGGCCATGATTTGCACCCCCCCCTCTTGGACGACCCCCTCTTCGCCGGCCCCGAGCCGCCATCTGGGACACCTGGTGGTCGAGGTGCGCGCCCAAGGTGGCCGGCGGCGCCTCCTCCTCCTCCTCCTCCTCCTCCTCCTCCTCCTCCTCCCCTCCTCCTCCTCCTCCTCCTCCTCCTCCTCCTCCTCCTCCTCCTCCTCCTCCTCCTCCTCCTCCTCCTCCTCCTCCTCCTCCTCCTCCTCCTCCTCCTCCTCCCCCCTCCTCCTCCTCCTCCTCCTCCTCCCTCCTCCTCCTCCTCCTCTTCCTCCTCCTCCTCCTCCTCCCTCCTCCTCCTCCTCCTCCTCCTCCTCCTCCTCCTCCTCCTCCTCCTCCCCCTCCTACTCCTCCTCCTCCTTCTCCTGCTCCTCCTCCCCCTCCTCCTCCTCCTCCTCCTCCTCCTCCTCCTCCTCCTCCTCCTCCCCCTCCCCCTCCTCCTCCTCCTCCTCCTCCTCCCTCCTCCTCCTCCCTCCTCCTCCTCCTCCTCTCCTCCCTCTTCTCCTCCTCCTCCTCCTCCTCCTCCCTCTCTCCTCCTCCTCCTCCTCTCCTCCTCCTCCTCCCTCCTCCTCCTCCTCCTCCTCCTCCTCCTCCTCCTCTTCCTCCTCCTCCTCCTCCTCCTCCTCCTCCTCCTCCTCCTCCTCCCCCCTCCTCTTCCTCCTCTTCCGCCTCACTCTCCTCCTCCCGCTCCTCCTCCTCCGCTGGCTGCGCGAGCGTGCCGGGGTCTGGCCGCCCTCGCGGCGGCGCGGCTTCGGCGCCGCTTGTCAGTGGGGAGGGGCCACGTGCCCCCAAAAGAGGGCCGCAGTCTGTCTCGCCCCGATGGACCGTTGGACGAGTCAGACCGAGAGTTGCGGTCATCAGTCTGTTTTTGTCCCGGTGTTCGAGCGTTCTCGGCAACGAGCCGCTCGTCAGGAGTTTGAGGGACAAAAGCTTGATCCAACCCTCCCAAGTGAGATGGAATAGGCCTTCTCAGAAGGCTCGGAAGTCTCCTGGCCTTCTGAGAAGTTTTCTAAGCCTGCCCCGAAGACGCAGGAAACTTCTCAGGGGGCGCGAGAGCTTCTGAGAAGCCCCGCCGCCTTCTGAGAGGGCCTTCTCCTTCGCACTTCCCCCCTTCCGCTCGCCGCCGATACATAGCAGTCAGGACTCGGCACGGGCAGCGGGCGCCATGCGACGCTGTTCGGAGCCACGCGGGGCGCCACGCGCGCCACACCCCGGTAGGTTTGCCGCGCCGTGTGCCCCAGGGAAGGAGGAGGAGGAGGAGGAGGAGGAGGAGGAGGAGGAGGAGGAGGAGGAGGAGGAGGAGGAGGAGGAGGAAAGTGGGCATCTTCTCGAATGATGATGGGGGGGGTGCGCGCGCGCGCCGCCTCCCCTCGACCGCCCGCTTCCGTCAGGCAGACCACTCGCGGCATCGCCCCATGGCGCCCCAGTGGACTCAGACGCGGGCGGCCCATAGCGGCCCAAGCGTCAGCGCATACAACCCGATCCCCGCCAATGCAGAGCGGAGCCGTGATAATGCAGGGCAGTCCGAGAAAATGGGAGTGAAGGGGCTGATCGGCACGCAGCAGAAGTCGTCGAATGGAGAGATAATGCATATGCAGAGGCACTGGAGTGCGGACTGGGGGTGGAAGTGGGGAGACATGAAGAAGAAGTCGTGCGGGTTGACCGGGTGGGTTCGGAAGCGCCTGTTCGGCAAGAAAGACCGCGAAGGTTTCTTCTATGTCCCGAAGAAGCTCCAGGGCCGGGTGCGGCGGGTTTCGATGAGAATGGCGCCGATGTTGCTCTACCTCCTGCTCGACTATATCGTGATCCTAGAGAAGTGGGAGCCAGATGTGAAGTGGTGTGGAGTACAGCAGAGTGCATGGAGGAACCAGGCGCACTCGCAGAAGAAGGTGGGATGCGGGATCCTGATGGAGCACGTAGCGAAGCTGAACGAGGTGAGTGTGAGACCGAGTACACTGAACAGGGAGGCGACGGTGCTCCAGCGGGGGTGGCGGTGCAGTGAGTTCGTGACACAGCTCGAAAAGGAGATGCAACGGGCGGACGAGCAGGTGATGAAGGTGAGTGGCAGCAAGAAGATGGACGGGGACAACCAGGGAGGAGCTGAGAAGCTGATCGGGACGTTATGTGCGACGTCCCCATTGCACACGGAGGACCACAGGATCAAAAGCGAGAAGGCCACGAAGTTGACGAAGGAGCGGCGGGCGGTGCGAGAGAAGTTCAGAGAGCTGCAGTTCGGCGGGGGCTGCGGCGTGATGGAGGAGGCGGAGGGCGGCACTGACCTGTACACGAGGGAGCTGGAGCTGGAGAAGGTGAGCAAGTGGCACAGTATCTTGACAACTTCGAGATTGAGCGCGAGATCGTGGACCTTCGCAGCGAGGAAGTGGCTCGTCGCAGAAGACTCGGGCGATACTCAGACGCCGCCGCAGCACATGCAGAAGAAGGACATGGAGGAGGGCGTGGCTCTGAAGCGGCTGGTACACCAACTGAAGAAGTATCGAGGAGTGTGCCAAAGGCCGATGGCGATGAGGCACGCCGAGGAAGTGGAGGGCTGGGCAGAGGAGTTCACACGCTCCCCGACGTACGAAGTTGGCACCGTATGGATCACGGTTGAAATGATCGGCAACGTTCTGGTGGCCCACAAGGAGGAGGCGGAAAAGCAGCTGGACAAGCAGCAGGCAGAGGCGGAGGCGAGCGGTGACCGACGAAGTGAGTTGCTGGCAGCAGTCCATCGAGACGCCCAGCGAGAAGATGAAGGCCGTGAGCGTGAAGCTGGTGATGTACCAGATCAGGCGCGGTGGGGGCGCCGCGGCGGAGGTGGGACGCGCGCTTCGGGGCGCCCTCGCGCGCCGCATGAAGTAGTGAGTGGGGGGAGCCGAGGTAGGTGGGCTAATGAATGACGGGGCTTGGGGTAAACGGCCCTGGCCCGTTCGGGCACGCGGCGGTTTTTTCGTCTTCTTCCGCTCGTTCCTTGTCGGTCGCTTCGCCCCCTCTCCCTCGCCGCGTGCGTCCGTCGCCGTCGCCTCCCGCGTTCGTTCGCGGTCCGACGGTGCCGTGTCTTGCGTTTTTATGGTGCCGATTGTAGGCTTGCCCCGAGCTAAGAGGGTCTAAGGATTTGGCCGCTCGAAGGGGGGAATCAGAATCAGAATCAGGAGGAGGAGGAGGAGGAGGAGGAGGAGGAGGAGGAGGAGGAGGAGGAGGAGGAGGAGGAGGAGGAGGGAGCCAGGCGCGCCCCAGGCGCGCCAGGCGCGGCAGGTGCGCCAGGTGCGCACCACGCGTGCCGAGGGTGCCGCGTGCGCTGGGCGCCAGGCGTGCCACGCGCGCCACGCGCGCGACCCGGGCAGACCCTGCGCCAGGTGCGCCAGCACACGGGGCCGCACGGATCGCGCCACGTGCCTCTGCAGGAGGAGAAGTCAATACAAGTCCAAACATAATGTAGTCCAAAAATAATCAAAAATAGTCAAAATAGGCAAAAATAATCCAAAATAGTCCAAATGTCCAAGAATAGTCGAAGGACGAGTTTGTTTTGGCAGTTTTTTGTTGTTGTTGTTGATGTTTTTTGTGGTTGCTTGACTATTTTTCCATGGTTCGTCCAAGATCCGCCCGTATGGGGGACATGCCCGACCTGAGGCCAGTCCCGCTGCCCCTGTCCGAAACAGAGCACAAGCGATGGCTGGGTGGTTGGCATCGCGTGCGGTGCGTGCACCTTCTGTAACTCAATTCGCATGTCATGTGCTTTCGACAGCGATGGGGTGGGCCAGCACGCAGCGTGCCAAGTGTCCCCGCCCCCACCACTCTTGTCAAAAGCCATTGCGGCACGATGATCGTGTTCCGGCACATGGTTACGCATTAGACTTCATGTGAAGTTTGCCTGTTTTCGACATGGGGGGTGGAGGGTTGGGCAGGAACGTGGTCTTGGTTAGCGGCCACTTGCATGGGGGACGGGGTGTCCATGCTCCAGGAGCAGCGGTACACCCTTCCCCGAAGCGGGAGACTGGAATTGTCACAGGAGAGCTCGCGCCGTGAACCACCTGCGCCAAGAGGGCTTGTGGGACACTGTGTTGCACTCGTCCGCAGGTCCCGACACTTGCATGCACATTTTTTCGTGCGCATATGCCTGTCTAGCCATTCGTCCACGTGTGACCACGCGTAACCTGTCTCGCCGACCATTGCTTAAGTTTGCTTTCGTCCGCCTTACGCATGCCATGTTCCGATAAGGCCAGATACTCTATGAGACTGTAAGGTTGAGCTCAGCTAGTGGCAGTTACCCTAGCAATTGGCATAGGCGTTGTAGGCATATGCGCATGCGTAGGCATGGGTGTGTGCATGTGCATGCGGGCGGGTATGTGCATGCGTAGGGTTCTCATCACGGGGAGGGCTGTCCATCGCCACCTCGGGCGGACACTGTTTTAAGTTGTCTCGAGAAGGTATGCTGCATGCAAGTCTGTTTGGAGAATGTATGCATCGTGCGGAAGAAATCGTCCTTGTTCGATCGACGAGTTTGATTGCGAGATGGCTGCTGACTGCTGGTTGTCACGATCATTCTGCCCATGTTCCATGTCTCACCCACCGTTTCCGCTCCTTCGGTTGCCCAGGTGGAGCTGAACCTCAAGCACACGGCAGCGCCCGCCCTAACTATTGTAGGTTATCTGTTTGCCCGAGAGATCAGGGTGAATTTGAGGAGGAGGAGGAGGGGGAGGGGGAGGGGGAGGAGGAGGAGGAGGAGGGAGGAGGAGGAGGAGGAGGAGAGGAGGAGGAGGAGGAGGGAGAGGAGGAGGAGGAGGAGGAGTAGGACAATGAGGAGAACAAGAGGGATAGAAGGAATGGAGGGACGGAGGATACTCAGGGAGGAAATAGGAGAGACGGAGGATGAGGAGGAGGAGGAGGAAGAAGAGGAGGAGTATGAGGAGGAGGAGGAAGAGGAAGAGGAGTAGGGGGGAAGCATGACACTGTTCTTGTTCGCCTTGCTGGTATGCGCATGTGTTTCAGCGTAAGTGCCTCCAACCTAGAAAGTATTACCTACATGGGGCTCTTGATAGACCGTTTGTGTATACGTGATTTTTGCGGGGCCAGCCCCTTCTGCAGCAGCGTGTTTTTTTGCATATTGTGTGGTGTTCATTTCTGCACCCTCTGCTGGTACGCTCCCCTGATCCTGAACCGCCCATCCATGCTGTTCGCTTCCCCGCATAAGCCCCAACTAGCGCTCCGATGGGCGCGTTCGGGTGGAGTAGAAGGCGGCTCCTCCTCCTTCTCCTCCTCGTCCTCCTTCTCCTCTCTTCTCCTCTCTCCTCCCTCCTCTTCCTCTCCTCCTCCTCCTCCTCCTCCTCCTCCTCCTTCTGCATCCCCTTCCCTTATCAATAACTCCTCCCTGTCGCCCCCCTCCAGACGTGTATGTAATTGGGGCGGGCCCGGCGTTTTGCTTGAGACCTCTTCATTATCTATTGCCACGAATTTGGGAATTTGCAGCAGTTTCACGGATGGAGGGCGGCCCGTTGTCAAAGTGTAGTTATCCTTGTAGCGCCGCGCACATTCGTTTCAAAAACTGTGTAGCAGTTTCAAGGATGGTGGGCGGTCTGGTTATGGGGTGCGCTCTCTTTAGCGATGCGCGCAGTCGGTTTTCTGAAGTTTTAGTTTCAAGGATGGAGGGCGGTCCGTTGTCAGATTGTGGCTCCGCACATGTGTGTTCTTTATGATAAAAGTGGAGTAGCTTGGAGCAGTTTCAAGGGCTCGTATGGTTAGTAACGGAGTACTGACGCGATTGAGGATTGCCTGGGCGCAAAAAGTGATGTTGATTCGCGGTGTCGACGTCCCCAGTGTGGTGTTCTGGCACGGTTTAGGATTGTCAGGACGCAACAGTCGTGTTGATTCGCGGCGTTGCAATCCAATGGTATGTTGGCAGGAATGGGGATTCTCAAACGGTTGTCTTCCAATGGGCCACTTCCCGCAATGACGATCATTTTTTGACGCTTCGCCAAAACCCATCAGCCCATCCAGAAACGATGGCCAGACGAGTTGCCATGATCAGGGATGTGGAGGAGCATGCAGCGGAATGAACGGCTGGGTAAGACGTCATACCCCAAGAGGGGGAGGATGGAGGAGGAATTGGATGAGGATGAGGATGTGGATGAGGGGGGGAGATCGAAGTGGAACGGAGAGCCCCCCTACCGGGAAATCGATTTCGGTTTCGTGTTCGTGCGTGCCGTGCGTGCAGGCGAGGCGAAGCTGCGTGGGCGGGCGAGAAGAAAGTCTCCTGTGGCTGAGGCGCGGCCGGACCAAATGTCTCCCTTCCGGGCAGCCGGGGGCCCGCGGTGTCCCGCCGGTGTCCCGCTGGTGTCCCGTGTGGCTGAGGCGCGGCCGGACCAAATGTCTCCCTTCCGGGCGGCCGGGGCCCCGCGGTGTCCCGCCGGTGTCCCGTCGGTGTCCCGTCGGTGATGATGATGATGATGATGATGATGATGATGATGATGATGATGATGATGATGATGATGATGATGATGATGTTGACGTTGACGATGACGATGACGATGACGATGATGCTGCTGCTGCTGATGATGATCATGATGATGATGATGGTGGTGGTGGTGATGATGATGATGATGATGATGCTGATGATGATGATGATGATGATGATGATGATGATGATGAGAAAGAGGAGGAGGAAGAAGAGGGATAGGGGGAGGGAGAGGAGGGATGAGGCAGGAGGAGGAATAGGCGGATGAGGAGGAGGATGAGGAGGGCGAGCAGAAAAGGCCATAGGCCTCTTGTATACCTCTCGAAGTCTATTCTCGGATATTTGAGAGCCCTTGGAGTCCTCTTAGGGCGTCTTGGGGTCTCTTGGCAGTCCCGGGGGCCTCTTGGAGCGTCGTGGGTGCCTTTTGGGGGCTTTTTGGAAGTCTCTTGGAGCCTCTTTGGGGCATATTGGGGGCCTCTTCGGGGCCTCTTGGGGCCTCCTAGGCACCTCTTGGGGCCGTCTTGATGCACCCTTGCGAGCCTCGGGGGCCATCTGGGGGCCATCTTCGAGGAGATCGATCAAAGGAGGGGATCTCCGCAAGTGGGGCCCTCCCCATCGCCGATACCTTTTGCGGCGTTTTGGGTATCTCGTGTGAGCATCTTGGGGGCCGTCTTGGGACACCCTGGGGAGCCTCGGGGCCATCTTGGGGCCATCTTGGAGGAGATCAATCAAAGGAGGGGACCTGCGTAATTAGCACTCCCCCCCAGGAGGCCAAAGTGTGGGCGGAAGCCTCGCAAACGCTTGGTCTTGGCCTTTTCGCCGAGGCCAAAGAAGGCCCTCTGACACCCGCGACCTCCCCCGTCCAGGTCCAGGGGGGGGTAGATGTAGGGGTAAACCCCTCCAGAATAGGAAGAGAGAAGATGGAAGAGGCAGCTCCCTAAACCACTCACGCCCAGAGTGCTGGTTGGATTCTTGTAGAGATCTATGAAGAGGGAACTTGGAGGCATGGTTTGATGCAGCATCGTTGATGCGTCTTGGGTTTACACTGGTCCTCCTCCCGAGAGGCTCGGATTTTGGCGGCCGCGGCCAAGCGCGCCCTTGTTTCCGAGGCTTGTGCCTCTCAAGTAGGGCCAGCACTGGGCTGACCTCGTCCCTCCTCTCGCGCGGTCGCGGGGAGGAAGGGGCCAGAGGGCGCCCTCACCCTTTGTGGTGCGGACGCTGGTCCAAGGCTTGGTTCCTGCTTCTCCCGGTCCTCCTCCTCCTCCTCCTCCTGCTCCTCCTCCCCCTCCTCCTCCTCCTCCTCCTCCTCCTCCTCCTCCTCCTCCTCCTATTCCTCTTCCTCTTCCTCCTTCTCCTCCTCCTCCTCCTCGTCCTCCTCCTCCTCCCCCTCCTCCTCCTCCTCCTTCTCTCCTCCTCCTCCTCCTCCTCCTCCTCCTCCTCCTCCTCTCCCTCCTCCTCCTCCTCCTCCTTCTATTCCTTCTCCTCCTCCTATTCCTCCTCCTCCTCCAAAACGTTCCGAAACGCTCTCCTCCTCTCCTCGTGCTTGTCTCCCCCCCCCCTCCGCAACCGTCCTCTCTCGAGCGAATTCGAGTGCCGGGGCGGGGGCGCCTCCGGGCAACAAGAAAAAAGGGCCCGCGCCGCGCGCGCGCGTGGCGATGGGCGGGCGCGCCGGCAGATGCAGCGCTATAGCTACCCGCACGCCTCGCGGTTGCACTACGGGTGGTCCGAGCCCGGCCGTCGGGTGCCAGCCAAAGCTCGAATCACAACAAGCGCCATAAACCCGAGGCGGGAGTCTACACCTGACCACCGCCTGGAGGATCAACTTTCTAGGACCTCGGTAGGCGGCGGACACGGGCAGATTCGGGCCCCCGGGGGCCAGAAACAATGTCCACATCCACCGCCCGCTGGGGCACCAGGACGTCGGTTCCCAGGTGGTGGATATGGATAAACCCCCGCCTCGCAATAAACATGAGCTTTTGGCACTCCGTGCGGATTTCTTGGATCCGCGCTGGGGCACCCCCGGCGGTAGTGGTTTCCAGCGCAGATCCAAGAAAAAATCCACGCGGAGCGCCAACAGTTTATGTTTATGGCGTTCCTTCTTCGTCTTCTTCTTCTTCTTCTTCCTTTCTTCTGAAAGCCACGAGGGGGGGGGGGCAGTGCGCCAGATGAGGGAAAGGTAGGTGAGAGGCAGAGGTGCCGATGTAGCTGCCCCCCCCTCGTTTTCCCACTTAGTGGGCCTCCTGGGAGGCCCTTGTCGGCACGGCCGGGTTCGCCTCGAGATTCTGGTCAGAACGCAGCCTGGGAGAGGTGCAGAAAGTGGCGGTATCGGTACCCCCCCGGTTTCCCCAGTGCAAGCCAACACGGTAGATTCATGTGGAGATTGCGCGCCAGCGTTGCCGGCGAGGGCGTTCAAGGTTGAATTCCGCACGATAGAGCGACGCGGAAGCAGCAAGGGACACGGTGACACCACAGGACCCGACTGGATTCAACCCTGAACGATCGGGGCCGCGATCGGTTCGAGGTGGTGTCAAAAGCCTTCGCGTGCGCCGATGCCGCACGAACCTACCGTCGCGGTAGGTTTCCGATGCGGTAAGAAATTTTGGGCAGCATTTCTCGTTTGTTCTCAAGGTCGAGTGGTGCCCCCAGGGCTCTGGCGGGTCCCTGGGGTCTTCGGGATGAGACATATTTCCTTGGGGCGCCTGCGGGTAAGTTGGTTTGCTAGCCTCTTTCGACGATAGCGAGCGGGAGCGGGGAAACCGTACTTCGTCTTGGGCATGCGCCTGGTTGTCCCCCCAAAGGGTCAGTGCATCCCCCCCCTCACCCTTCATTGGGGAGGGGAGGGAGGATCGGTAGGAGGGGGAGGGAGAATGAATAGGAGGATGAGGAGGATGAGGATGAGGATGAGGATGAGGGTGAGGATGAGGATGAGGATGAGGATGAGGATGAGGAGGAGGAGGAGGAGGAGGAGGAGGAAGGGATAGGAGGAGGAGGAGGAGGAAGGGATAGGAGAGAGGAGGAGGAAGATGGGCAGGATGAGCGAGAGAAGGGAAAGGATGGGTAGGAGAGAGGGGGGAGGAGAAGGGGGAGATGGATGTCGAGTAATATGGATGGCAAGGATCATTAAACCTAGGATGCATTAACGATGCTGTAATCC